GCAGGGAAGCAGGAGAAGTAAGAGAGGGGAGTATCATTGCAGACCTCTCTCTTTTATTGTTTCTCACTAACCCAGAGCATTAATTGAAATAATCATTTTTCTTGCTCACTTTATAATCACTATCAAAGCTCTATGATGTTTAATTTTTGTCAGGTACCAAAAAGGATGAACAAAGAAACTTTGACATTACAACAGTCTACCAGGTATACAAATGAAGAAGGCTCGGAGAAAGAATTAGTGGGGATTCGAATCTCGATAAAGCAAGTTATCACTATCAGCATAACCTTGAAAGAATCACAGACCTTTCTCTAGCTCATTCATTAAAGCTTTGTTTAATTCAACAAATATTTATCACATGCCAGGTGCCTGCACTAAGCACTGCGGCTTCATTCATTTATTCATTCAACAAACATTTATTAAATCCCTATTATGTGCCAAGCACTGATCAAGGGGTTGGGATACAGCCATGAATAAAATAGGTAATATTTCTGCCCTTGTGGAGTTTATATTCTAGTGGTATGGGGAGCAGACAGGCAATAAACAAATAAATATACAATCAACATGTCAGGTGTTAAGTGCTATGAAGAAGAATAAAGGGGGTAATGGGATAAAGAAGGCCATGGTTGATACTTTATATAAGATGTCTTGCTGGGCACAGTGGCTCACACCTGTAATCCCAGCACTTTGGGAGGCTGAGTTGGGCAGATCACGAGGTCAAGAGATTGAGACCATCCTGGCCAACATGGTGAAACCCCATCTCTACTAAAATACAAAAATTAGCTGGGCATGGAGGCATGTGCCTGTAGTCCCAGCTGCTTGAAAGGCTGAGGCAGGAGAATTGCTTGAACCCAGAGGGGGAGGTTGCAGTGAGCCGAGATCTTGCCACTGTATTCCAGCCTGGTGCCTGGCAACAGAGCAAGACTCTGTCTCAAAAAAAAAAAAAAAAAAAAAAGATGTCTTGGAAGGCAGGCATCTGGGAGTTCAGATTTAAGCAACATGGGAAGAAAGCTAAGGAAGGAGACATACAGGTATGTGGGGAAAGAGCACGTAACAAAGAGTACAATAGGCATGACTCAATCAATTATACCTCAGTTAAAGGTGGAAAAAAAGAAAGGAATGACTCATTATATACAAAAGCCTTCTAAGTTGCCTCAAATCCCTTCTGGAAATTAGAAGTATATAAATAAACCATAAATGCCTTACCTACCCAGCATGAACAAAACGACCTAAAATAAGGATGAAATGAGAAAGTGTTTTTAGAAGCAAAGAAGCCTATATACATATACAGTAATGCTATTTATTAGTCACTGGTTGGCACTAACAATCAGAACCAAGTATGCATCTATATTTGAAGGTCTTATGCACAAATTAAATCGGTGCTGTCCCAAGTGCAGGAGCTAATACAAATGCCAAAAACATATTCAGTGGTTATGGTGAGTAACAGTGTAACCTGCTTAGAACTGTATCTTAGGCCTGTAGTCCCCATGCAAATATAGCCTCTCATACTATAGCTCACAGTATACCATTTCCTACTGCATTCAATTAGGGAAAGCTGAAGTCTCCCCACCAAGATGAGACCTAAATTTCTTTATTTACAAGGAAATCACTGGTTAGAAAATTCCTTAGCCTTGGCAATTAGTCAATCAAGTTCATTAGCACAGGTTGACATATTTCCAGGACTGGTGAAATTTTAATTGGGCAGCAAGGAGGGGAATACTCAAGCTTTAAGGAAATTCTCATTCAGAATGTTCTAACCTTCCAGCTTCTCCTACGTTTTCCTTAAATCTAACTTAGAGGGATAATCGAGACCATACACACACACGAATTCAGCCTGGATGTGGCATTCTGGAGGAAAACCCCAGCTAAGTACACGAGTGTGTTTCAGCTTTTCCAGAAGAAAAATAGTTATGCATTATACATGGACTATACAGACATTTTTTTGTAAGCCTTACTTTAAAATGTTTGAATTTTCAAAGTTAAAATGTTCCATGTGTTTAGTATTTCTTGTTCTATTAGACTAAAGAGAAGTGGTTGAAAATTCAGTCTCAGCAAACATGGTATATTCCAAGAATGTTTGATATATTATGATTTCTGCAGCTATAGAGTTTGTAAACATGACTTTCATACTCATTACTGGTTATAGTTAAAAGGTCATTTAGTCAATAAACATTTATTGAGTACCTACTGTATGCCAGGCCCTGTTCTATGCACAGGAGATACAGCAGCAAATAAAGTTCATATGTTAAAGGAAACAGACCATAAATGAATTTATAAATATAAAGGCAGGTAGTGAAGCAATTGCTCTTCCCGTTTTATTTAGGGAAAGGGAAATGTGGGAGGGACTGCTATTTTAGAGAGAAAGCCTCTCCCTTGAAGTCTCATTTGAATAAAGATCTTAATGAGCCTTTTACTGATTTGGGGAAATGCCCCAGGCAGACAGAGTGGGCCAGGCTTTGTTGTCTGGAGTCCCTGGAATAGCCTGAAGGCCAATGTGGCTTGGACAGAGTGAGAGGTGAGCAAAGTAGAACAAAATGAGATCTTACGTGAAACCTCCATTTTCTGGATTTTCAAGCTATGATAATTGCAAGGAAAGCCTGCTATCAAACTACAGTCTCCTCATTAAGTTTCACATGAACACATACAAAAATGGACATTCTCTGTTTTCCCTCTCAGGACCATTTGCTTTTACATTTCAATAGCCTGAAATGCTCTTCCTTACCCCTCTTCCTATCAAACTCCCCCAGGTTTAATTTAAGCTCTGTCCCCTATAAGAATCCTCTCTTAACTCCTCCAGCGAATATTGAGTCACTCTTCTTTGTGACTGAGAGGGTCTTAACCTAGGACTTCCCTGCCATCGATAGATCTTTACAGGAACTCTGAAATTGTATAAAATTTTGTGTATCATTCTGTATGTTTTTCCAAGGGTGTTCATGAATGCCATGAGATTTTCAAATCAGTTTGTAACTTTAAAAGGTGGAGAACCACCAAGCACTCATGGTCAGTGCTTTTCAATCATTAAATGTGCACACAAACTGTCCACGTTTCATTAGACTGAAGATTCCAATTCAATAGCCCTGGAGTGAGGCTTGATGCTGCTGGTCCTGGGACCGTACTTGGTAGCAAGAAACTAGAATGTGGTCAGCACATGCTTGTGTACCCTGGCAAGGTGCTCTCTGCACTTAGGTAGATCACAGGTTTCTGGATAGCAAAGTCACTGCCAATACTACTTGGCTTTTCTCCCAAGTAGGGACTAATAGAAAAACAGCCCACTGTTGGGCCAGACAGGTGTTCTACAGATATTAGTCTCAACTAGGCTTCTAAGGTTACCACCAAATGTTTAAGGCTACACCTTTCCAAAATGCAGAGCAGAATCTCAGAACCCTTAAAATCTTCCTGAAGTGAAGCTTTTTCCTCACTTCCAGTAATAGAGTCCCATAACGTATTGAAACCTATATCCATTAACTCTACAAGCGATGGTAGTTAGCACAGGAAATGAACTCATTTGGAAGAACAATTCACTATATGAGGGCATCATTACTCACTGAAGACATTCAACACAAAGAAATAACATAAGGCACAGGGCATGGTGGCTCATGCTTGTAATCCCAGCACTTTGGGAGGCTGAAACAGAAGGATCACTTGAGGCCAGGAGTTGAACACCCTGAAAAGAAAGAAAGAGGCCAGGCACAGTGGCTCACACCTGTAATCCCAGCACTTTGGAGGCCAAGGCAGGTGGATCACGAGGCCATGAGTTCAAGACCAGGCTGGCCAAGAAGGTGGAACCCCGTCTCTACCAAAAAAATACAAAAATTAGCCAGGCAGGGTGGCAGGCGCTACTCGGGAGGCTGAGGCGAGAGAATTGCTTGAACTCAGGCAGCAGAGGTTTCAGTGAGCCCAGATCCCGTCACTGCACTCCAGCCTGGCTGATAGAGTAAGGCTTAATGAGAGAGAGAGAGAGAGAGAGAGAGAGAGAGAGATAACATAGGGCATCAAAGGAACCAGGATAAATCAAACCACCAGGCCCTTAAATGAGCAGATCCTAGATAACTCTTTAGAGCCCAGCAGTGAAGAAGTCTCATTTCAAAATGGCAGAGGGAGAGAAAACCTCCGAAAGGCAAGGAATAATGTAGAAAAGTAAAATTAGGGTTTTGGAATAAAACTGCCACCTCAAACAACCTGCCACTCTATATTTGCACAAACTATAAAAGAAGTTATTTATTGGGCCATGTGGAAATAAAGTGCTTTTAACAGCAGCTAACAATAGATCACGTGAAAAAAAGTTACATATAAGACGTGGAAGGAATGTCTTTATGTGTTCAAAAGGAATTTTACATGTGGTTTTTTATAAATATATACACACACATTATTTGGACCTATACCATATGTAATGAAAACTATGCATAAATATTTATAAAAATACCATTTTTTAAGTAAGCCAGAAACATTTAATATTTTTCAATAAATTAATATATAAAATATATACATTAGTGCCAAATGGAACATATTTGAAATATGAGCCCCAAGTAAAATGCTCAGGAATCTGGAGTAGAATCCAGGTATCTGCCAAAGGAAATTTTGGACCAGTTGTCTTTTGAAGAAGGGAAACAATGCTGGGTCTCTTATCTTCACGCACTGTTTTGCTTGTCAAACTTCTAGCATCACTTCAGCGGAGTTTAGTATTTGACTTCTAACCTCATGGCTATTTGACCTGCCAACTATTATTTTTCTTTGAGGCTTTTAACTCTCCACCCAAGTATTTTGCTTCCAGAACAGTTGTGTCCGTTTCCTTTTCACTTCACCTTAACGTCAGCCTGGGTTTACAACGTCGGCTTAAGGTGCACCCTCTAAGGTTTCAGATAGACCCAGGGCACTGCGGTGATGACCTGAAGCTGATATCTTTCGGCAAAGCCAAGGTGCTTGGGAGGTTCTCCGCGTTGTGCCAGGATTTCCATCCAACCTGAGAGTCTTAGGGCAGAGGCCAGACCCCGAGCGTCTGACTCCCCAGGGTCCCAGCCCCTTCCCCAGGCTGATCCTGCGGGCTGGGACCTCCCAGCCGGAAAACACTGCCCTTTCCTGTGGCCTACTCCTTCCACAGGCCGACGACTCTCAGAAGAGGAGGAGACGGAGACCGATTAAGAAAATTAGCATTCATTAACCCGGTTCGAGCTCAGGCCCCCGCGGAGGGGAGGGGCGCGCCAGGCGGCGGCGTCTGGGTGACCGGCGGGCGCAGGTGCCGCCACGGGCGGAATTTTACGCTCCCGGGCCGGCAGCTGCACCACTTGCGCCTCGTCGGGCGTCTGGGGCAGCCGCCAACAGCTTGCCCCTACTTTAGGCAAATCCCTTTAAAAGACCCCGAGGGAGAAGACACGCCTCCCTCTGAACTGGAGAACCTGTAGCGTCTGCGGTTCGTCGCGTGTCCAGCTGCTCAGCCGGTAGCTCCGGCATCTCCAGGGCGTTAAGTCCACTCTCCGGGTTTTGGCTGCAGCTACTAGGGGAGCGAGCTGGAAACTGACAGAACGCGACCCTCCCCCTCCGCGCTCACCGGAGCCCGGGCTGCGAGGGACCCGGGGAGCTGCGGCCGGGCTGGGGCGGCGCACTCAGGTGGCTTCGCTTCCCTGCGGGTCACCGCCCGCCACGCCGGAACCTCGCACAGCTAGGTCGGCTTGTTGGGATCGGGAGAGGTGGGCGCACGAGGTTTACTGCGGGAGTCCGGGGTACGGGCGGAGTCCTATTGTCCCCGAGCACCCGGGCGGCAGCACCTCGGGGTCCTTCTTTAAACCGGGAGTGTGGCGACCTTTCTTTGTGCTAAGGGAGCCGAACGCGGGTTCTTCTCTGAGGGAAGTCGCCTACTTGGGGGTGGCGCTGGGGAGGTAACAGTGGGCGCCCATTGTCCTCCGAGGGTCCGCCGTTGACCCCCCCCCACCCCCCGCGCGCCTGGCCGCCTGCTGGCCCCGGGCCAGGGCACAGGTACCGCGTCCGGGAGGGTCGGCCCCGCCGCCCGCTCCCTCCGCTCCCTCCGCTCCCTCCGCTCCGCCCCGCCCCGGGCCAGCCCCGCGCCGCCGGCCCCGCCCCGCGTTGCCCCGCCCTCCGCAGGTTCAGTCCTCGCGTCCGGCCGCCTAACGCTCAGTCGCGCGCACCTTCTCTCGCGGCCGAGGGGCCGCGGCGCGGGGCCAACCCGGAGACCCGGCCGCGGGCCTGGAGAGCCTTCACGCCGTCTCGGAGCGGAGAATGCGGTGAGCAGGCGCCGCGCCGCGCCGGCACACCCGGCTGGTTCTGCAAGCACCGGCAGGCTGGTTCTGCTTGTGCCCGTGGGGGGCTCGGGCAGCGGTTGAGATCCTCGGCGGCTGCCGGTGAGTCGGGAGAGCCCAGAACTCCTTCCTCTCTACCTGTCTGTGAGTCTGTCCCGCCCGCGGCCGTGGCCGCTTTCCGGCGTGCGCTGGTGTTAGGCTGGGAAACCAACAGAGAGACTGGATACCGAGGGCATCGCTTTCCCATCTCATGTTCAAAGGACTGAAGGGAACGTAAAGCAAGCCAGGAGGGGGTCGGGCGGCCCCACCGGAACGTAGGGCTCCTCCATTTGCGCCCACCACTTTTAAGGGTGGGGCTGCGCGGCCGCATTGCACCCTCTGAGCTATTGACAGAGCCATTCTGGCCGCGTGTAGAATTTTTCCATAGGAGAACAAGCCTCACTTCGCTACCGCGCCCCTCGCGTCGTGGATTGGAACCAGAGCCGCACATGGGTGCATCGCACAGCTCTGCCGTGGCATCGCCCCCCCCCGCCCCGTGCCCTCTTCTTTCTTAACGGAGAGCATTGTTAGCGGGGCAACAACCTGCAGATCTGGCTATTGACTTTTTTTGTTTTTTTGTCTTTTGACCGTGACAGCTGAAACATTTACAAGGTTTTGGGGTTCCCCAGACCTTTCTCCTTGAAACTAAGTGCCTTGACACAGACAAATATCAGACATGTGAGGACGAATGGCTCTGGCCATTTTTTCTTTATGAATTATTATGCTCTATCCCCCTCTCGACTTTGGGAGGCATGTGTTTCATCTTATAAATAGAAAGTAGAATATTTTTTGGCAGGATTTCCTTTATACTGTACAGTCTAGGAGAGGTCAGTTTAAAAATAAATACGCACTTGAATGTTACATTACCGAGAGCCAGGCTGTGGCTGGGACAAGCTGCGTGGACAGCAGCATCAAAGCCGGGAGCGCAGCTGTGTTGAAAGTAGTAAAAGCCCCAGAGTGCAGCCCAGGCTGACAGTCAAGTAATTACATTTTGTTTAAAAAAAAAAAAGGTGAGGGGAGCGAATTAAAATGAGGGCGGGAATAGGATTGTCAGAAGGGTATTGCAACATGAATCTTTCCAGCCCGGGCGTATTTGGAGGAGTGGGCTGCTGGTGTGTGCTGAGGGTGTAGGGGGGCTCTAGGGAGGGAACTGATAAATGTGTTAGGGAGACAGAGATTCTGTCCCCATCCCCCAGATCTTAGTTCTCACAATATCCAAGAGTTTCTTGGGAGTACTGCCTTTTAAACGGAACAAAATTAGAAGAGCAGCAGATGTCTGTATTTTAATAGCAAAGCCAGTCTTAGGGACTTCCCCTTAACATCACAGGGAGGAAAAAAAGACTCGCCAGGAACCACTGATGATGCCCTAAGGGTCTTGTCCCTAAGATAATTTAAAAGCCTCCTGTAATGTTCTAATTTATACAAGAGCTTTCCTCTTAAAACCAGGAAATGTACCTTTTCTTTTCTGGACAATTCCAGAAGTCTATTCTTTCATACCCCCTGCAATTTGTATAAGCTCTTATTGGTAGTTAATAAACTACACAGGTATGTGTGTGATGCATATCCTTTTCAGAATAGATTTAGACACTCAGAAATAAGTTGGAGTAGTTGCGAAATATTTAGCACTTTCACGTGAAATAAATGATAAAGGCCATTTATCTAGTCAAGGAATGGTTGAAAGTTCCTTACGAAGTCTCCCGAAGAATGCTGCTTTCCCAATGGGCCTCACCCATTGAATGAAACAGCCCCAGTCTCTGGGCTCACAGATAAGAACTTTAGAGGAAAAATTTGGAAGCGTTTCTGGATCCAAGACAGTTTCTGTTTTCCAGTGGTATCATCTGCTAGAGATTTACATGATGAATTCAATGATTAGAACATGGTGCTGAGGCTGTGGCAGCAGCTACAGGCTTGAAATAAGATGAGCTCCTCTTTCCCTCCATCTGATCAGTGAAATTGTCTCACATATCTCTATGGAACAAGTAAAAGCAGCTAGAGTAGTAAGTGTGGCACACTTTTTGCTTTTTAGTGTACATTTAAGTGTGGTGCAAGATGAATAATACAAAGCCGTAACAGTGATTGCAAAAGGGCTCACATGGGTTCATTTGCCCTGTGCTCCAGCCTTTCCTTTAATGTGGTGTTTTGTTTTATGTCCAGCATGCTCTCAAAAGCTGTGCTTTTTCACTTACAAAGTTTCTGGTATTCAACAGTGTTGGGGATAAAATTGCTTTAACCTATATCACCCAAATTTTTTTTTAACCAGGCCATAGATTTTTCACAAATTCTTTGCCCATTAACTGTAACATTTATCCAGTGGGTGGAATATAATTCATAACCTAGAGACCTCCAAGAAGACTGCTCTGGTTGTATTATTATTATGAAGATTCTTACTTTCAGTCTGATTTTATCTAGGCCCAGTCTCATTTCTTACCAGAATCCTGTGAACCTGGTTTTCTTTTCATTGATTGAATGAATCTGTTTTTAAATGCAGTATGTTTGCCAGAGAACAAGTATAGCCATTTTTAAATACTGGATTCAGCCACCCACAAAATCTTGTGTGTCTCACCAAGCAGAGAAGACCAAGAATTCTCCTCATATATTACATTGTTCATTACTTTGGATGTTATAAGCACTTCCTAAGTGGAACCTGTCCTACGTGTCAAACACTCTTCTCAGCCCTTCATCTTGATTATTTGTTTCTACCAATCATCTTATGAAGGAACTGTTGTATCCCCATTTTACTGGTGTAGAGACTGAGGACAGACCAGTTGTATAACTTACCCAACACTGCAATAAGCAGAACACCTAAACATGCATGTGCAGTTTATCAACACAATATGTGCAGGCATAAGTGGCTAATCCTTTCTGAAAGTCAGCAGCTCTTTGGGTTAAGGGGATGGGGAAAAAAAACACCTTGAACTTCTGAAGCCTCCCTGAGTCAGACTGCCTGAGCACGTGTCCTAGTTCTGCCACTTAACACCTGTGTGATTTTGGGCAAGTTGCTTAGCCTGTACCTCAGTTTATCCTTTGTAAAATGGGGATAATATTATCCTGACAATTAAAGGAGTTAAAAAAAAGATGATGTACTCGGAACAGTGCCTGACCCAGACTAGGCACAATAAAAGGTTGAGGTTTCAGTGTTGCTCTTGTTGTTTTCCTAGGTACTTAATACTGGTTCTGTCATTTAATATTCATAACTATTTTTTGAGATAGAAAACCTCTTATCTGTGGTTTTCCTTTCTGTGTGTCAGTTACCCACAGTCAACCACAGTCTGAAAATAGGTGAATATGCAACAATAAGATATTTTGAGAGAAAGAGACCATGGTCACATAATTTTTATTACATTGTTATAATTGTTCTATTTTATTATTAGTCTCTTACTGTGCCTATTTTACAAATTAAACTTTATCACAGATGTGTGTGTGTGTGTGTGTGTGTGTGTATGTATACATATATAAATAGTATACGGTTCAGTACTGTCCAAGGTTTCAGGCACCCACTAAGGGTCTTAGAAATATGTTTTGAGGATAAGGCAGACTATTATATTGTTCTTCTTCAGATGAGAACACAGGCTCAGAAAGGTTTAGTAACGTGGTCAAGATTACACAGCTCAATAGTAGAAGCAGGGTTTGAACTCAGGTCTCTTTGATCTTATACTAAATCCCACACCCCCACCAGCAGGGAGGAGGGGCAGAGAAGTTGTGAAATCTGATTTTTTGTTTTTTGTTTTTTTTGAGACGGAGTTTTGCTGTTGTTACTCAGACTGGAGTGCAATGGCGCAATCTCAGCTCATGGCAACCTCCGCCTCCTGGCGGAGAATTCAAGCAATTCTCCTGCCTCAGCCTCCCGAGTAGCTGGGATTACAGGCATGCACCACCACGCCCAGCTAATTTTTGTATTTTTAGTAGAGACAGGGTTTCACTTTCTTGACCAGGATGGTCCTGATCTCTTGACCTTGTGATCCACCTGCCTCCCAAAGTGCTGGGATTACAGGCGTGAGCCACCGCGCCGGCCTGAAATCTGATTTTTGTTGCGACTTTTGGCCTCTGGCAAGGACATAATTTCATATCACCCTGTATCTCACAGTTAAAGATGACAATAATTGCCAGCCTTGGGGAATACTATGTAAATTATTTTATTATTAAAGATGGTTCAATCCCACACATGGCAACAGCCTTCTCCTACAGTTAACATAAAGCAGTTTAATTTATGCCATAAACGAAGAGATTTACTAAATGTGGGGCTCTCTAGTGAGAAAGCAAGCCAAGCCACAGCCAGGGACAAGAATTCTGGGGGCCAGGGATGAAGTGGAGCTCTAGTGTAGACCATGTGCCTGCTTCAAAGTTCTGGGAAGTCAGGGGTCTAGTAACCGTGTCTGGACAATTCCCTCCTTGAA